TAAAAAGTCAAATTTACATAAAATCTGCGATCAAAAACAACAAATGTTTCAACTTGTATTAGGCCATTCTTAATGTTAAAATCGATGAAATTGATACAATAGAAAACGGTAAAATATAAATGTCAAGTGTTAAAAGTCATTAAATACCATCTAAACATAATATTCAGGCGCAAATCTTCGAAGAGCATCGTGAAGTATTAAACGGAACGTACAATCTTCCCAGATTTGAACCGAATTAAACAAAGGCGAATAATGTCATTGTTAAAGTCCGCATTCGTAACATTGTAGAAACTAGATTAAAATTTACAAAATGACTAAAAATCGAATAAATAACTAAAAGGCTAAAATATTATAAATAAAAATTCTAATACCTGAATCCTTTTGATTACAGATTTTATGTAAATTTGATTTTTTATTTGAGCAGTAAATATCTTATAGTTCAGACTCGTAGCCCATATTTATTTTATTAATTTCGTTTAGTCATCTTATTTTAGAAGATTTTTACGATTTCACGCGTGTAGAGCGAAAAATATATATTTTTTATGATTTGCAAGGTTACGTAAAGTATCGTAATCGTAAATGATTATAATAATAAAAACCTAACAAAATTCACAGAATTAAAAATACAAAAGGTAAAAATATAATCATTTACAAATACAAAAAGTAAGGCAGATGGGAATCAGCGCAGTTATTAGAACGCAAAGAAATATTTCAATGAAATATTGTGTCTCAATAACTGCGCTGATTTTCATCTGCCTTACTTTTTGTATTTGTAAATGATTATATATATATTTTTACGAATCACATTTTTTACGATTTATTATGCCCTTCTTAAGCCTCGTCTCAAATTTCACGATTGTTATTGGAGGTCATCATACGGGTTACATATATTTACTGTATATATGCTAATACAGTGTACCTATCCACTATATAAATATAACAGAATAAGGGGATGTATGGGGATATCTTTATTAAAAAAGAGACATGCACTTTTAATTTTTACACATAAAATATATATTTATGTATATGTATATACATAAATATAAGTATATTTATATATGTGTTTTTATATTTCTTGTTGATTTTTCACGTATAGACACATGTTATGATGTTTATATAATATATTTATATATGTATTTCTTTGTAGGAACAGTGTATTACGTATACATGTTTATTACAAGTTAACATGACATACTTCCAAAAAGAAATCATATACATTAAGCACAGTTTAGGATGCTTCAGCTTCTCTTCGAAATGTGTAAACTTTAATTCGTCATAAAATGCGGATTATAATTTGTAGAATTAACAAAATTATCAGATGGATCGTAAAATTATCGAATTGAGATTGGAATATAGAAAACCGGCAATCCATAATTTGTGCTAAAAAAAAAAGTTGTTGATAAAAATTGCTCTAAGACATCAAATAAGCTGTAGCTTTTTTAATAAATAATAACAGCCAAAAATTTTGTGTGGTAGAAACTCGCCAGCGTATATAATTACCTCATCGTCGCAAATGATGATTAAACAGAACTGTCGAAGGTGAAATAATGCAAAAAACGCTTTATATATAATTACGAGCAAAAGGTGCGCGCGTTATGGATTATCGTTTCATTTAAAAAGTTAAACGAGTCGCCTTAATCCGTGTCTGGACGTTTTCAATTGACAGCGTCTGCGACTCATTACACTCATATATTTCCTTCCAGTTCTTTATAGCCGCGTCGTATATTGTTTGTTCAATTAATGATTGTTACGTGACTTATGGCGGACAGAGAAGAATTCTGTGACTATTATTTCCCGGATACATCCATATTTTCTCCACCAGACACAGAAAGTACTCGGCATTTATATGATTCAACATTATTTACACTCAGTAGAATCGAACATACTGGCTGTTTTGATATTATTTACGTTGTGTTTTGTTTCTCTACGGGCGGCAGTGATCGATTAAATTATAAGCGAATCTAAGGAATACAATTTTTCCAGCGCTTCGTCCAGCCGCACGAAATGTTTTCTGCCAATGATGGAAATTCAACATCGCAAATACGTATACGTACAGCGGCAGACAAAAGAAAGTTTAAAATCAGTATATGAATATTAGTAACTTTAGGACTAAATCGTTTTTTGTGATGTTGGTTACACTAAACTACTCCGCGGCATCTTGTCACTTCAAACGACGTAGGACTTCTTTCGTTTATTTCACTTTTCTTGCATTAACAATCTATTTTGTTCGAAATTTCCGGCGGACAAAAGTAAGTTTAAAATACATATTTTATAATAAACTACTAAAAATTTGTTGATTTTTCTCTTTTCGCACATGTTTTGTTCCTTCTTGTGCATTTTTAATATCTTAATTATCTACATAGATAAATGGAAATAATACAAGAAAGTCCGTCGATGTTAGACAGATGACAGTTAAGGATAGAAAAAATGGCTTAAAATTTTAAAAAATTTCAAAAAGATATGAAATTTCCATGATGGAAGCGAAGAAAATTTGTGACAAATACGACAAATATGGTACTGCAAATGATTTAGTAAAATGTGGCAAATCAAGAAAGACATCGATGAGAAATGACAGAATGATAATTCGAAAAGTTAAAAAGAATTCCGCCATATCAACTCGAGCCATCAAAGAAAATTTAAATTTTGTTTGTATACACGAAAGAACGATGAAAATTAAGCTCAAGAGATTAAGTGAAAATAAATTAAAAAATTACATAGCAAAAAAAGAAACCTTTTATTAACGCTAAAAATAAAAAAAAACGTCTACTATTTATTAAACAATACATATTACTAAGCCCTTATCATTTTAGGAATTATATGGTCTGACGAATCTATACATTTGAGATAACGAACAAAAGGAAACGGAAAAGCCAAGGCTTTACTGTTTAGTAAATAGTAGACGTTTTTTTTTATTTTTATCAATACTCATATACACGCCGGGTACTGACGTACTTTAAACTTCCTTTTGTCCACCATTGTATATATACGCAAATTAGATTATCCTTTCCGCAAGCGATTCGATTGCTCTTACAATACGATACACACCCATCGTTACGCGACACACAATCATTAATCCCCCGAAGAACACCTATACCATTAATTTTACAACACGCTTGACGCGAACATGTATAGGTATAGCCGTACAATATATGGCAATACAAACACAATGATTTCTTGGTTACACAACACAATTTCCGTTACAAATTTATAACACAATGGGACCGGCGATTGACGGTTAAGCGCGGTCAATTATATGGCGTCTGCAGTTGATCAAACAACGGTCGTCAAATATCATTCGACAGATCATCGGAACAACAAAAAGAGATTTTCACAGCTGTTTTCACGATTGATTTGATCAACCGATAAACGGACGAATCGCAAATGTAACGCAATCAAAAACACCTCGATCGCCGTCCGCCTTTATACTTGCGTGTTCGCGTATCGAAACAGCGTAATCACTCTTATAATTCGCAAGGACATTTATTTACACACTATACGAAGCATAATTAGCTTCCTGGCGACGATGGATCGATATCGCGCCGTAAAGATATATAAGGTATACTTAATTCTAGCACGCGTTCATTACGAAATATTTAGCATGCGGAAAGTTTTGCAATCGAAGAAACTGACGGAAATTCATTAAATAGGTTTTTCGGACTTCGGTCACATCTCGCGAACGTTGAAAGCGCAAGTCAAAGCCGGAGAATTTTGAAATTGACAGTATCTGGGAGACGGTTGCAAATATTGTCGAGGAAATAACAGATTGCATGGGACAGCGTGGAAAGAAAGAGCTAACCAATTAAATTCGTTCAGGGATTGGAAGCAACTCGTTACTTGTAACGCCGTTACCATTACAATTACACTTTTGGTAACGCAGTTACATTTTTTCGGTAACGGTAACGAATTATAAGTTACTTTTATCGTCACTTTTTGTATTTTAAACTTTTTGCATTTTGACAAAAATTTTCGTATGTATACAATATTCAATCTTCAGTCTTTAGCTAGTATTCACATAGTTTACTCTTATTTTAAGACTGTTTTTAATAACGCTTAAATATATTAATGGGGTAACGAATGGATGTGCGAGCACGTTGATTCATAATCGGTTGTCTCGAGTTTGATCCTTCACTTCATATACGAGCTGAGCAGAAATAAAAAGCGATTGCCCCTAATAAAATAAAATGAAAGAGGCTTGTAGACGTCCTATGCTCCACATAAGGAGATAAAAGATTTAAAACAATAATAATAATAATTAATATGGCTCTGTGATTGGTTTATGACATCTTAAGAATGCCGCAAATCAATTAATATCAATCACAAATTAAATTGACAAGTAATTTAATAAGATATTTATGTTACAAGCATCTTAAAATACTTTGAAAAATTTATTGTGAAAAATACCAGCTGAATTGCGTTTCAAAATCGAAAATTTAATTGGCGCGTAGTTTGTAGAATTGAATATGTATGTATATAAATTCATTTTGAAGTATTAAGCACAAAGCTCATATCAAAAAATTTCCTTTTCCTAGTTGTATTTTTATATATCGGTCTAACATCATTGTTGCTTTCATTAATATTAAAACAAAAAATTGCATTTAAAATTACTTGGACTGATCTAGTATTGTTTCAGCATTAAAAAAGTAACGGAAAAGTAACAAATCGTTATTTTTTAAATAACGATAACGAGTTATTTTTAAAAATTAGTAACTAGTGACGTTAACTAGTTATTTTTAAAAAGTATAACTTTCCATTCCCTGAATTTGTTTGATGTTTGTTACGTACCGCAAACTTTCCTTTGTTGAGTGCACAAATCACGATAGCGAATGCAAAATATTCTTGGTAAATAAAAATATAGGTTACAAATTATTAATTTTACACGAAGAAATATCGCTATTCGGCCGAAATTACTTTAGTAAATGGAATTCGAACACGTTGTAACTGCGCAGCGATAGTGATATCGGTAGTAAAGAGCAGAAAGGGTGTAATGCAAAGTTCTCTCGATCGTTTAATTATAATTATATTCATCGTCTTGATATAATTACACAGGAGAGCAGTAAACGAAATAGAATTTTGACTATTAGATTACAGGGTTTGCGTCTATTTTCATTAGCGAGCCGTAACGTTTAGCGTTAAATAATAATAACAATCTGTCGTAAAATATACATGTGTGTATGTATATGCGCGCGCCTTAAAATCTCACAGGGTGACGGAGTTTAGAAAGAGGTCTTTCCGAATATAAAGTTTCCAGGTACGCTCGGGTCGTCGGAGCAGAAATATTGCTTCCACAAATCGGCAAATTTCTCGCGAGTCACCTCCTTACCCTGCAAAGAGAGAGAGAACAAACAGTTTCGTGAGACCTCCGGCACTCCGCCGAGCTGCAACTCCGTCGTCGTCGCGCTCTATTTCCTTCTCTTTCTCTATGTTGTCTTTTTTTTCTTTATCGTTATCTCTCTTCTCCGCTTGATTGATACTCACCACCCCCAGTTTCTTGAACGCCTCGCGCGCCTCGGTCTCCTCGACGCCGTGACTGCCGCACACCTTGCTGAATTCAGTCTCGTCGATCGATCCATCACCTGATGACAGAGACCGCACTCGAATTTGAACTCGAAACCTCGCTATCTCTCCTCCCCTCCCCCCGGGCGCGTTTCATGTACTTAAACTAACTTTTATGTACGCAAGGTACTCTGCAAAGATAAATTGCTGAGAAAATTTTGAGTCGCGCGGCGAGACGAGATGATGGTGTATTATTAGGAATTAGTACGAATGGATGCGGGATAATAAATGGGGACGCTTAATTGGTATTTATAAATTCATTAACCCTCACCCCCGGCCGAGAAACTGTCATTCATTTTTTAACCCCGTGATCAGTTCATCATTTTTCATAGCGTTCCAAAAATAGATACGTCATATGAAATCAAGGGAACAAGAAACAGATTGGTAAAATATAAAAAAAACATCAAAATATAATAGATATCTAAATTCAGATTGTTTAAAAGCGTTTCGTATATATTTGACCAAGGCAAAGAGTTTTCGAAGTTCTCTGCAAAGGTAAGGATGGGGAATTTAGCGTATATACATAGGTATGCATAAAGCTGTAATCACACTAGCAATTGAGATCGAGATTGGATTGAATTTGACCAATCAAAGTAAAATTTACTAAACTTGATATTATGGGGTAACTCTGGTATATATGCCGCTCGAGAACGCGATTTACGCTGCAGAAGTCAGAAAAAATAGAAGAAATGAAAGCAATTTTCTCGCAACCACTCTGTTACATGCCTTTATGTTATATTAGTATCGTGTGTGATTTCAGTTTTTTACTATTAATATTTATAAAATTATTGTAAGTTAAATCGATTTGTCACTGTAAAAAGTAACGCAAACATAAGTTATAATCTATCCAACTCGCTAAAAATGCTGTATATTCCAAACAGATGGGATATACGAAATAATAAACTAAACGAAGAATACAAAAGTCAAGCACTTGTATTTTGCTATACTCCATCCGTTATTATTACTCTAAACTTATGTACCACGAAATAACCACGAAGCCTCTTTTACATTTCCTGCAATAATTATTTTACGTATAGATTATAACTTATGTTTGCGTTACTTTTTACAGTGACAAATCAGATCGGAAGAGCACACGTC